ACCCATTTCAACTTAGTAGGCCATTTGTTTAATATGTGTCTTATCAACGCTAGGTCGATCTGCAATAAAAAGACGGATTTAGCCCTGTTTGTATCCATATATCAACCATCACTTATAGTGATATCTGAAGCATGGACTAACAGTAATATTTCCGATCTAAGTATACCTTTTGACAACTATTTCCTACATAGAAGTGATAGATTGAAAGGACGAGGAGGAGGATGCCTGATTTACGCTTACTCTAGCCTAAACTCACTACTGTGTGATATGCCTGAACTAAACAAACTAAAGGATTCGGTGTGGATTGTATTAAAGCCGTCGAATCCCGTTACCTTACTGCTCGGCTGTGTTTACCGTCAACCTAACGCATCAATAGATGAAATAGCAATACTATCGGAGGTATTCACACTAGCATCATCCCTTCCATTCACAGGCAAGCTTATTTGTGGTGACTTCAACTTGCCCGAAATTTCTCGGTTCCCAGTCAGGGCGCCGAAGAGTTATGAATCATTTATAGAATGTCTGGAGCTAGGACAATGGACTCAGTATGTCAATAGACCTACCAGACATCAAAATATCTTGGACTTAGTCTTTACCAGTGGCCTCACCCCCAATACTGTGTATATTGGATAAACGTTTCCAGGTAGTGATCATAACATTGTCATATACAGCCTTAATATAAAAACCACAACCGGTAGACGTAAAACCGTAACACTTCGTAGAAACTACCGCAAGGTTGATTGGAATAACTTCCACAATCACCTAAGAAGCACTGATTGGGGAACTTTCTTTACTGCAAACAATACCGACAAACTAACCAATATATTTTATCTCAACATCAGAAGTATCATCAACAAAAGCGCACCTTTAGAATACTGTAGATCTACGTTCTCTAAAGATCTCTATATACCGGTGGGTACACGAAGACGTCTTCAAAGACATTGTACTCGATTCCATAACTTTAATGACTTTTCCTTCTTAGTAACGATGACAGAAATATCTATCCGAACAGAGACAATAAATACACAAAAAGCAGTGGCACAGAAAAAACATGCAGTCGAACTTACCAATAACTCCTCTGCACTCACCATGCTCCTTCAAAATAAACTTGAACGTTCCAAATCGAGAGGGAGCATATTCACTAAAGACAAACAAGTATACGAAGACCCTACACTTGTTACGGATCTATTTAGTGAACACTTTTGTTGCTCAGTAACGAAAAACCACTAAACGATTCAGAACCAATCCCAGTACCTCCCTGCGAAGTTACTAATGTAGGCTTCAATGTACAAAATATCTCTAAGGCAATTAGTACATTGAAACACTCATACACTAATGGACCAGATATTATTCCAGCTAGCATGCTAAAACGTGGAGGTGATGATATGTGTGTTTTGCTTTTCAAACTGTTTGCGATATCACTCTCTGCAGCGTGTTACCCTACTGCCTGGAAAACTACACATATCATTCCCAAAATTAAAACAGAACCTGAAGCAAATGTTGACAATTATCGGCCCATAAACATAACTTCAGTGGTATCTAGAGTGATGGAAATAGTAGTTAAGGCGGCGGTAGTCCACCATCTAGTTACTAAAAATCTCATCCCGGCCTCCCAGCATGGATTTTTTAGGTCCAGATCATGCGATACATGCCTAGTAGACCACCTGAATGATATAACTATGAAAAGAGACAACGGACTCCTTGTATCAGTCCTATTCTTAGACTTTAAAAAAGCCTTTGATAAGGTCCCACATAAAAGGCTTCTCGTCAAACTAAAATCCATCGGAACAAATGACCCACTGTACTCATGGTTTGCTTCGTTCTTAACCGAACGGAAAAGCCCTAACTCTTCAGATAATAACAATTCTCTTATTACCTATTCTTCTTGCTCCGCTACTCCCTTTGTATCTGATAATGTTGGGACTTGTCTTACACCACACGTGCTGCTGGATGACTCTGTTTCTAATTTAGTAATGAGTTCCACCTCAAGATAAAAAAATCGATGATATGAAGAATGAATTAAACCCTCTTTTTAAGCAACTAAGCGACATGCGTTCTAAAGTCGAGTCACTTTCTAGCTCTTTATCAAAGCATGATGATGATCTGAAGCAAGAAATAACGACACTATCACCCTTTAAACTGCTTTTGTCAAAAGATATCGTTCCTGCGGAACTTGATGACATTATAAAAGCAGAATCTGTTATCGATTTTATCGCTAGTGAAGTTACCAAGCGAATATTCTCTTGTAACAACGTGATTATCTATAATAAACCTGACAAACTCCCCATTAAAACTGCAAGGAATTCGATATTAAAAGCATCTAACCTTCAAGACAGTCCATGCCAATGCATCCGACTTACTAAGAAGCACCAGAAATACTCGTGCCCGGCCTTGTTCAGGTTTGATTCTCATATATTAGCTGAACAGTTAAAAGAATCTGAGTGGCTAGTATGCGCGCTTACGAGGTATAGAAACGATCGCATAGTCTCACATAAGACCACCAATCAAAGATTTACGCAAAAACGTACCCTGAACGAAAATAAAGATGTTGAGATCATAAAAAATCACGATGCATCATCTGCGGGATCCACTGATACTGATACCCTATCTCATGTTCTCCAGTACACTGATCTGCCAACGAAGAGTGCTAACATACCTATTATGCCTGTAGTGACATCTGATAAGCAATGTACATCTACTGATTACACTAATCCGATAGTATCCAATTTACCATTAGAAGCCCATAAGCAAATACCTAGTCCTAATGCGACAGCTCTGAAAAACACTGTCAAGACTACAAAGTCTATGCCACGTAAGAAGAATGTTTGTACAGAACCTTCTGGTTCTAGACCCAATAATAAAAGTATTACGATGGCCCTACTAAATACAAATAAGACTATACTTCCCGACACCATGCTTTACTCAACGCATTGTAGGGGAGGATATAAGGGCAGACCTGGTTCAAATGTCTCACAAGACGGCCACTTCAATCATTATGTAAGTAGGCCTAATATTGGACAGACCACAGTAAACCCACGAGCCTCACGAGTACCCTCAAACGTTTTAAATGATAAACCTGTGAGACGTAACCTCTCTCAACACTTTCCCATTAGGCAAGATGGATTACTAGGTTACCCAACATCAAACGTTTTAAATAATATACCAGTAACACGTAACTTTTCTCAACACTTTCCCATTAGGCAAGATGGATTACTGGGTCGCTCACCATCAACCCAACCCTAACTAGCAGGTGCTTGTCTTAACTGTCCGCCTAGTCAAGTTCAACAAATTAATCCGCTTTATCAAAAAAATGATATTTTTGGCCTTCAGAAATCCCTGGTCCCACTAGCACTATAGTTTGCTCGAGTGATCGCCCATGTGATCAGTCAAACGAAATAAACCACAGTCTATGCAAATCCAAAATACACGACATCAATAGGGAAGCTCTCGGTTTTTTTACACTCCATACTCCGTTTTTAAATCTATTACTTATCAATGCACGTTCACTTCTGAACAAAATTTCAGCCTTGAGAAAATTAGCCTTTCTATGCAAGCCTTCTTTCACACTTATCACTAAAACATGGTGCTCTCATGCAGTATCTGACTCAGAATTAAATATCCAAAACTATAGACTCTATCGCTGTGACAGAGAAACTAAGCGAGGAGGTGGTTGTATTATATATGCTTTGGATACCCTAACAACTAACAAAGTTGAAGATAGTGTCCTGAATAGTTTACCAGAATCAGTCTGGATATCTGTCAACACCCTGAATCATAGTCTACTCCTTGGATGTATATACAGAGCTCCTGAGAGCTCAAATAATGGGAATAATCTTATTATCAATGCATTCATACATGCATCCGCTCTAAACTTTAATGCTAAGGTTATCACTGGTGATTTCAATTATCCTGGGATTAACTGGAGTACCGGTAGCTGTCAGTCATGTAATGAGGAGTTCTCGGCAACCATTAACATGCACTGTTGGTCACAGTGGGTTCGTACCCCAACTAGAGGTGATAGTATACTCGATCTAATATTTAGTAGAGATATTATCCCACTATCTGTAAAAGTATACGATGAATTTGAAAGCAGTGACCATAAGACAGTAGTATGCACTCTCCCTATATATCCCTCTTCTAACCGACCCATTCAAAAAACCTGTCAATATAGAGACTTTAAGCATGCCGACTGGGACCTCCTGCATTCACTGATTAAACTTTCAGACTGGGATAACTTTTTTTCATGTACTAATCTCATAGATACTATCGACGAGTTCTATTTGATCGTTAACTCTTGTTTAGATTCTTGTGTACCTCTTAAAACGTACAGGTTTATTAAACCTTACGAATTATATATACCAGCTAAATATCGTAATAAACTAAGACGCCTACAGAATCGTTATTTCAAGTCAGACGACTTCACGGCAGCTGCGCAAATAACAATAATTTTTAATCGAATTAAAGAGACACATAGGTTAAAAGCCATTAATGAGGAGATACCAGCACTTAATAGTAACTCAAAAGTACAAAACTTAACTCTACTTCTCAATAAACGCGCTAAAGTAACTTAAAATGTTGATATACCATGCATCCAGCATAATAACACTTTTATATACGACTCTAAAACTAAGGCAGACCTTTTCAGTGGTACTTTTGCGAATGATGTAGGAATCACAAGTGGCTCTGCTTCAAGAGTTACGTGCGTGATCAGCAACTCCATAAAATCTATCTCCTTCACATGTAAGAAAATTAATATGGCTATAAATGCCCTTAAGCTTTCGCGCGGTCATGGAGCAGACGGGATTCCATCCTTTCTCTACAAATACGGTGGTCCAGATATTCCACTTCTTCTTCTAAAGCTGTTTAATCTCTCTATGGAAACTGGTTCTTACCCTTACTGTTGGAAAACCACGTACATCATACCACGTTATAAATCTGGAGATAAGACTGACATGAACAATTATCGGCCAATAAATATTACTCCAGTAATCTCTAGGATTATGGAGAAAATTGTAAGTGATGAACTTTCCAACTATTTACTCGCTGGAAACTTTATCAATGATACTCAACATGGATTTCTCAAAAATCGATCTTGCATGACATGTCATTTCGACTTCTTTAATTTAGTCTACTCTCTACGTAGCCAAGGATATCTAGTCTTAGTGCTATATCTGGACATTTCTAAGGCCTTTGACATGGTTAACCACCAACTTCTTATAGGCAAACTTGCATCTTATGGGGTTCAAAATCCTTTGCTAGATTGGATTGATTCATTTCTCAGCAATCTACATCAAATAGTTAAAATTAACTCTTGATTGTCTAACGCTGTCCCCGTTAGAAGTGGTGTAATACAAGGTAGTGTCTTAGGTCTTTTGCTCTTTTTAGTGTTTATCAATGACATTTGTGAAAATTTTTGTGTAGGTAAGCCCCTTCTATATGCTGATGATCTTAAACTAGTATATTCATTTTCGCCGCATGAGCTGGAAAATATGCAAACTTGCATTAACTTGGAGCTTAACAATGTAGCACAGTGGTGCTTAAAATGGCAACTGTAACTTAATACGGCTAAATGTGAATGGAAATGTTTCGGCGATACATCACTTAACCTAGACCTTACCATAAATGGAGAAGTGTTATCTAGGTTACATACAGTAGTAGACTTCGGACTTAGATACTCCCAAGACTTATCTCTTACAGAACAGATATCGAAACAGATCTCCAAGTCACAACGTCTAGTAGGTTACATAATTCGAAACCTTCATAACAATGAATCACGAATTTTAATGTACAAAGTTTGTGTTCGACCTCCTCTAGAATATTGCATGTTTATTCTTAGCAGTGCGCGCATAAAGGATAAATTAAGGCTGGAATCAGTACAGAGACGATTTACACTTCGCATTCTCGGAGCTGGTTGTACCTTAACTTATAATTCTAGATGTAAAAAACTAGAGCTAGACCCTTTATGGAAGAGGAGACTCAAACTAAATCGTATCTTTTTCTTCAAACTACTTAATAAACTATCTTTTACATCCAATCACGTAATTCGATACGCAGAATCCCCTCATTATGAAACCCGTAATTCCTTGGCACTTGTGAAACAAACTTATTCTAAATCATCTCTGTATATGAATTACTTTGCCTGTGAATGTTCTAGACGCTGGAATAACCTAACACAACATATCCGTACGATAAAATCACTCCCATTATTTGTACGTTGCATCGATGCATATTGCTCCTCTGAAAATGCATTGAATGCTCTAGCACCTGTAAGTGTATCTCACTCCATAAGTGTTATTATAGGAACTTTAAATGTTTAGGCATTTTTATTAATGCATTCTCTGGATAAAACCACCTACTTGCTGTTAATACCGTCCCCAGCAAGTTTAACTAATTTTAATATCATCAACAGTATATCACTGTGTCACATGACATACGCATTTTGATAGATCTGATTGACATATTTCGGTAATTACTGCTTTGTCGTTCCGTGGAAGAATGCTCTTACGGAGTTAAGAACTCGTAAGTTAAATGGCGAAACTAACCTTACCATTAAGGGTTTTCGGGTAGTCAGGTCTCGGAAGCCAATGCTTCCGAGGCCTGTATGGGTAGAACAAATGATTACCAAAACACCTCAAGTGTGTGCTACACGAACGCCCGTAGTCTTACGAATAAAACGTCCGAGCTAAGTCTGATGGTGGATGAATTAAGTCCCGATATAATTGTTATTACAGAAACTTGGTTCACCGTAGATATAGAATGTTCTCCCATCATTGCAGGCTATATCTGTATTAGAAGTGATAGAGTTTTAAGCCGCACAGGGGGGGAGGAATAATGTTATACATTAGGGACCACTTTCGTATACAATCAATCATATTGGAGGCTCATGTTAGTGGTACATGTGAGGTAGCATGTTGTAAGATTAAATCTAGAAATGGGTTAGTGACTAACGACTTTATCCTAAGACACATCTTTTCTTGGGGTATGACAGAATGTTGCCTCATCGTTGAGGACTTCAATGCTCCGCACATAAACTGAATAGAGCTTACAGCTCCAGGTGGAGGTTTCGATAGTGAACTTTTATCAACCGTTATTCAGTGTGCACTTGTCCAATATATCACAAAACCGACACATATTGATATGAAACATGATCCGTCACTGCTGGACCTCGCCCTCACCCACCACTGTGAGGATGTCTTCGATATTTAGCACCTTCCTCCACTAGTGAACAGTGATCACGTTGTGCTTCACTTTAAATTTAGGACACATGGTATACGATTTGTATCTGCTCCACCCCGTCCCAATATCTGGCGGGCTAATATTCCGGTAATCAAAGACTGTGATATCTGGTTGGTCGGTTGACATAGATGGATCGATCAAAGACGAATGGGGTAACACAATGAGTACCAAAAACTCCGGAATATTTGTAAGAAGATCATAGCTTAATCCCGTACTACTTACGAACGACAGTTGGCATATGATTGCCGTACTTGTCCAAAACGATTGTTTTCATATGTTAAACGGCAAATAAAACGTAGTGATAGTATTCCCCATTATTGTTACACGATAATTCAGATTTACTAGCTGAATCAGATCGAGCCAAAACTGAGACATTTTCAAACTATTTTAGCGAAGTCTACTCTACGTTTATTGTAACAAATACTTGTCCCAATCACGCCAAGATACCAGCCATTGAATCTGTACAGGTGACTGAAGAAACTGTCCTTCCGTTAATAATTAACCTCAAACCTGGTAAGGTACCGGGTCCTGACGGGTTACATCCACGACTGCTGTCATCTCTTGCGGACATTATTTCAAAACCGCTCGCGACACTCTTCAACATGTCCCTTTCACTCGCTCAACTACCTAGGGATTGGAAAGATGCTATAGTCAGTCCTATATTTAAGGATGGTCAGAGACAAATCGTATCTAACTACCGGCCTGTCAGTCTGACTAGCATTGTCGTTAAGTTACTTGAAAAGACAATTCGGGTTAGGTTGCTAAGCCACATAGATTCACACAATCTGTTAGCTCCTGAGCAACATGGATTTCGTGACAAGCGTTCATGTTTGACTAACTTACTTATTACAAGAGAGGATTGGACAGCAGCCTTAGATAAAGGTCTGTCTGTCGATGTTATATTCATAGATTTTAGCAAAGCATTTGACAAGGTTTCACACCTAGGTCTTATGCAGAAGCTCACAAGCTTCGGAATAATAGGTACTGTACAGGAGTGGATAGGAAACTTCTTATGTGGCCGCAGACAGAGAGTTAGGGTCAATGGGACGCTATCCGATTGGAAGCCGGTCAAAAGCGGTGTACCCCAAGGCACCATCGTAGGCCCCCTGCTCTTCCTTCTCTACGTAAATGAGTTACCGCTGTTGCTTAGGTCGTCGACATTATTATTTGCGGATGACGTAAAAATCTGGAGAACAATAAAAATTGAGGCTGATCATCTGGATCTTCAAGCTGACTTAGACGATTTAGTTAGATGGGCTCGAGACTGGGGTTTAAAAATCAATTCTAGGAAGTGTGCTAATGCACATCGGTCACGGCAATAGTTACCATTATACTATTGATGGTAAACCTCTTCCATGAGTTCAAGAACATAAAGACTTAGGAGTAATAATAAGTCATGATTTAAAAACAACTACGCACTGCAACGCAGCCGCTGTCAAAGGTTTTCATGAGTTGTGGTCACTTCGCCGAGCGTCCAATTCCTTTTGACGAGGAAATGTTTCGAATTTTATATCCCACCTATGTAAGACCACATTTAGAGTACTGTATTCAAGCAGCTAGCCCATGTCTGATAAAGGATACTAACTCACTTGAGCGTGTCCAGCGTGTGGGAACGAAATTAGTGAAGGGTCTTTCTAAACTCCCTTACGATGAGCGTTTAAAACGCCTAAACCTTTTCCCCTTGTCGTATCGTAGGACTCGAGGTGACCTTATACTGGCATTTCGTATCTTTAATTATGATTTGGGTGTTAATATGTCTTATCTTTTTGCTCCCTCCAGGTTCATAAACCACGATCTAATAAACTCAAGGTGGGGTTCCGTTTTTCTCATCGAGTAGTCAATGATTGGAACGTCTTGCCCGTACAAATGGTATCAGCCCTATCAGTGAATGTTTTCAAAGAGAAACTGAACCTTCACTGGAAGGCAATCTGTTAGGATTAACACAGGTTCACTAACCTACTATCCTTATTACTGAAGACTGAAGACTACAACGGTTAGTATCTGATTGATAACTAATTTGGAAGTAACATAAATAAACAAATAGGTGTTGAAAATTTGATGCGGATTCCTGAACCGTGATCTTTACAACTTTTATAAGAATATTTAGCCAAGTGTTTAGTCTTCAAAGTGTTGTTTTGCTGATTACTCAAGGCGCAAATTCCAAGGGTGGCGGTTCTGGTAATTGATATTTACTGTATTTCGAATTATAACATAAGTCATTCGTAAATTCTTCCAAGTTTCGAAGTATTCTCTTTTGTTTATGTGTTTACTGGTTATGCGTGCGTTTGCGTTTTCTCGCGGAATTAACGTCCACCGCCTGTTTTTATTATTTATTGCTCGTAGGTAGTGTGACTCATTCAGTCATACTTATCCACTTTAAGTTTTCAAATCCGTGGTTGAGTTTATTTTAGTCTTCCAGCTCCTAAGGGTTCGGCTAATGTCCGTAACGGTCTAAGTGACTTTCTCAGAAAAGCTAACTCAACTTAAAATTTAGCGCAAATATTGGTACTACATGCGCATTATATGCTTTAAAAATATCTATCATTATATGCACCCAGCATGTTGATTTCTTTCGTTCTCATACATCTTTTGCGCATCAATTTGTAGAGGTGTTTCGATGGCTAAAGCGTTTGACTTTCAATGGTTGTGAGCTGCTCTAACCCGATTAGTGCATCCCAATAAAGTCACTAGGAACAACAAATTTGTATAACTTAAGATAAGTGTATGGGCTCACTCTTCAATAAGTTTCACCTAGCTCTATTTACTCACGTTAAAAATCTAATTGTCTCATAATGTAACAACTATCCTCTCAATTATAGCCCTTTTACAAGTAATTTGGATTTGGAAGACGGATATTTATTTAGTTACCAGCTGATCTGGGGGATCCATGCTAGTATTTAGCGTGATAAAGATAGGTGTTACTCCACATAAAGCACTGGCGGAACACCAAACATATAATAGGACCACCGAACTGTACTCAATCTACCTTACTCTACTTTAGGATTGTCAGATCTGGAACTATATGTAATGAATTTTATTCAGGCGACAAGCATTTGAGCATATGGCAACTGGTTTGGTTAGTTATGTTGTGTACATTGCATGGTACACCATGATTTGTTCACATATGAGGTCTGGGTTAGACTAAAATTCATTTGAAAACTTGGTATAAGCAGCTACACTAAAATTTTACACAAGTTCATAAGGTCACTGACGCCTATTATAAATCATTTTATGTATCTGCTTATTAGATGCTTTTGATATTGTATCTGAGAGGCGACAAGATTAGATCACTCGAATTTCAACTAGTTTGCAAATTAGGACTCCACTATATCTACTTCCGTTTAGGTGATTATATCACCAGTCACCAAATATGTGTATCTCAAATTTGAGTAGATAAAAGTGTTCCCGGTCCTTAGTAGCATTTTTTTACTGGTAGACTATCGAAATAAGCGTTTGTTTACTATTGAAGATTCATAATACTATCAAGATGCTATCAAATCAGCTTTGCATCTGATGCTCAAAAAAGTAAATAAGGCCATTTCCCCTATTTGCAGTGCATATCACTTGTGATATGTATTATTTTCGTAAGGAAATCAACATTGTGATGACAGTTCAGATCATGTAGATTTTTATGGGTAAAATTCGTGTTGTTGATTATCAAAATTGTTTTTGCACCACTAATTTAATACCAGCTTTTTTATCGGTCTATTTTATTGTTCAGCTCATGACGACTCTTGCTCCAAACAGTGTATACCAGACTCTATTTACTGGACAAAACCAAGGTTAGTTTGTAGTTCATTCCGTTGGTGTCGTTTCTCAATTCTGTTTTACCAACATTATTCGCAGCTTTACTTAGTGGCGTTATATATTGGACATTTTATTAGGTTACATATATGTGTCCGCACGAGATAGTGACTTCTTCGGTCTTGGGATCTGAAGTATTTTGCGTAGACAACTGTTAATAAACACCTGTATCTTTTGGACGATGGATTTCGTAGTTCTCCAGGTTTCCGCCCCATACAGTAGAACTGTCTTGACATTTGTATTGAAAATTCTGACTCTGGTGTTGGTTGCCAATTGTTTTGAGTTCCAGATGTTCTTCAGTTGTAAATATGCTGTTCTTGCCTTGCCAATCCGTGCCTTCACATCTGCATCAGATCCACCGTGTTCATCGATGATACTGCCCAAATGTGTAAAGGTTTTTACATCTTCCAAAGCTTCTCCGTCAATTGTGATTGGATTGTTGCATGCTGTGTTGTATCGGAGAATCTTGCTTTTCCCTTTGTGTATATTGAGACCTATTGCTGCTGAGGCTGCAGCTACACTGGTTGTCTTCTCCTGCATTTGTTGTTGCGTATGCGGTAGAAGAGCCAGATCATCTGCCAAGTCTAGATCATCCAATTGCATCCTAGCTATCCACTGTATCCCGTGCTTCCCTTCAGATGTTGATGTCTTCATGATCCAGTCGATCACCAGGAGAAAGAGAAAGGGTGAGAGTAAGCAACCTTGCCTGACACCGGTCTTTACTTCGAACGACTTTGTCAACTGTCCTCCATGCACGATTTTGCAGTTTAATCCATCATAGGAATTCTGTATGATATTGACTATCTTCTGAGGCACGCCGTAGTGTCGAAGAAGCTTCCATAGGGTTGTTCTGTCCATGCTATCAAATGCTTTTTCGTAGTCGATGAAGTTGATATAGAGTGATGAATTCCATTCAATTGATTGTTCCACAATGATCCGTAGAGTTGCGATTTGGTCTGTGCACGATCTATCCTTACGGAATCCTGCCTGTTGGTCTCGAAGTTGTGCGTCTACGGAGTCCTTCATCCTGTTTAACAATACCCTGTTGAAGACTTTTCCCGGTATTGAAAGAAGAGTGATTCCCCTGTAGTTGTCACAGTTGCTGAGATCGCCTTTCTTTGGTATTTTGACTAGAAGTCCTTCTTTCCAGTCTTTTGGTACCTGTTCCTTATCCCAGATCTTTTTGAAGAGAGTTTGGAGTATCCTTGCAGTTGCCCCTACGTCTGCTTTCAGTGCCTCTGCTGGAATGTTGTCTGGTCCTGCTGCTTTGCCAAACTTGATTTGTCTGATGGCCATGCTGATTTCTTCAATTGTTGGTGAGCCAACATCAATTGGGAGGTCCGTGAGTGCTGCTTCGATGTTGGGTGGGTTCAGTGGGGCTGGTCGATTCAAGAGTTCTTTGAAGTGTTCTACCCACCTGTTTCGTTGTTCTTCAATGTTGGTGATTATCTTGCCTTCCTTGCTTTTCACTGGTCGTTCTGGTTTACGTTGATTTCCAGAGAGTTTCTTTGTTGTGTCATACAGTTGTCTCATGTTTCCTTCTCTCGCAGCCTTTTCCGCCGTCAATGCCAAATCTTCGACATATTTACGTTTGTCAGTTCTGATGCTCCTTTTCACTTGCTTGTTTACTTCTGTGTATTCAGCCTGTGCCTTGACTTTTTCTGCTCTTGTTCGACTGGTATTGATTGTTGCCTCCTTGTTCCTCCTTTCTTGAATCTTATCCAGTGTATCGACCGTGATCCAATCCTTGTGATGGTGCTTCTTTTGGCCCAGAAACTCATGACATGTTGAAGTGATTGCCTCTTTTATCTCTTTCCAGTTGCTCTCCATAGTAGTTCCTTCTCCATTGAGTAGATCATGAAAGGCTTGGAACTTATTACTGAGGGTTATCTTGAATTTATTGAGTTTGTCATTATCCCGAAGAAGAGCCGTATTAAATTTTTGTGATATTGTCCTCCCCGTTGTCCAGTGCCTCTTGAGTTTCAATTTCATCTTGGCGACCAGCAAGTGATGATCTGATGCTATATCAGCTCCTCTCTTTGTTCTCACGTCCTCCATCGTCCTCCTGAACTTTTTGTTGATGCAGATATGGTCGATTTGGTTCTGTGTGCTGTGATCCGGTGAAGTCCATGTGGTTTTGTGTATGCGTTTATGTGGGAATATAGTCCCGCCTATGACCAGTTTATTGAAGGCACATAGATTTGCAAATCTCTCACCATTTTCGTTCCTTTCTCCCAGTCCGTGTCGTCCCATGATCTCTTCATATCCGGTGTTGTCAATTCCAACCTTGGCATTTAGGTCTCCCATCAGAATGATAAGGTCCTTTGTTGGGCCCTTCTCGACGATTGACTATAGCCTATCGTAGAATTGATCTTGAGCGTCTTCATTGTAGTCGTTGGTAGGCGCGTAGTATTGGATGACGTTCATTGTAATCCCCGTTTTCTTTGTTTTGAAGGAGGCTTTGATGATTCTGGATCTGTGAGATTCCCATCCTATAAGTGCATTTTGTGCTTGTTTGGACAGCATCAATGCAACTCCTTGTGTATTGGGGCATTTTCTTGTTCATGTCCGGAGTATAACAGCAGCTCCCCTGAAGCTAGTCGTTGTTGTCCAACTTGCGTCCAATGTGTTTCACTGATCCCAAACACCTCTAAGTTGTATCTCCTCATTTCTGCAGCAATTTGGAAAACTCTCCCAGTCTCCCACATTGTGCGAGCATTCCATGTACCTAAATAAATGGTTGCTCTGGTTGTCAGAAGGGGCATCGGCCTCGTGACTTCCGAAGGAACTCGGATTTCACCATGAGGCGTCATAGTTCTTCTAAATGAAGACCTTCTAACTCCCAGGGTAGAGTTTAAATTGTTTGAGTTATTTTTTCTGGCTAGCGTTTTTTTAGCGAGTTAGTTTTCTACGGGATGGGGTCGCTAATCCCATGCCCAACCCTCCTCCTTTACTCGGGCTTGGGACCGGCAGTAGCCCCCGGAAAGGGACTCCAGGCGGAGTTACCTCAAGTCAGCACAGCGAGAATACAAATTAACGAAACAAAAAGCAAAGGCGAGGGAATATTATCAACTCCCATGAAAACCCAAACATAAGAAGTATAGTTAAAAGGGAATAAAGGAGATCAAAGAACGAAAAGTTGGGGATGAGACTTCACCCAATATCTAGTATAAGATTGAGAATGAATGCGAATTCCCCCCTGCAATCAATTTTGAGCCACGTCATCCAACGATCCCGACTGTGTATTATTATTGTTGGAATCCCAACTAGATACTTTTCATTTATTAACATGGCCCAAACTAAAAGTGAGCACAACAATGTACAGAAATTAATATATGAGAGTGACTGGCTGATTGATGAGAGTGAACTAATAACAATAATGGGAGAAACAGCTCAGTTAGCGAAAATACAACCAGGAAGAATCCTTTCATTTAAAAAAGTTGCGTCCACTATTAGGAAAAAATTAAAAGAAAGTTAAGGTAGGATCGCCACTGGCTTTTATTCTGAGTCATATGTGATGACGTCTCTAGCCACTGTGTTGCACCAACTATAGAGTTTTGAAGGACCAACAAAAGCCATTTCTGCTCAGCTTTCTTTCATACCACGGCACCATGCTATACACTGATCACCTCGGCTTTTTACAGCCTTGGAACCGTTTAGATAGGACAGGGTCTCCACCATACGTGAGCGGCTGTAAAAGATTAAAAGGGAATACATGTGACGTATTATAAAGAGAAATCTTATATAATTTTGGATTTGATTTGTTTAAATAAGCGTTGAAGCAGGAGTAATTTTTCCAGTAATAATCAGGGTTTTCCTACTCCCCTATGTGGATCCACCGAACCGATTAAAGCTCCGGACATTCGCTTTTCGTTCACTGAATTTCGCAAACAGCACTCTGCCACGAGAGGAACAACGGCCGAAAGTGGGGAGAGTCCGCTCTCCCTCTCGAAATACTCTCACATGGCCACGCGTATATAGCCTCTGCCAGGGAAGTCCCACTCACTGCCTTCTCGTGGCGGGGGTGTTGTTTACGAAAATGAGAGGACGAAAAGCGAATGTCCGGCGCTTTAACCGGATCCTAAACCAATGGTGCACATGGGTCCCAGTATCCTGAAGGAACAAATGGCGGATGAACCAATCGTTGGTCACCGGCTACCATGGGACTGCATCTCCTCACGATGCTCCACTGCCTTGTGGGTCAGACGTTCAGGTCGAAGGCTCGGGGTGTGGCCCCCTAAGAAAACCACCTGCTTCGGTTTGGGCACCCGAGCAGTATCACAGCCCTCACACAAATCAATTGAGATTTGTGTGGCGCATATGTATTTGGTGCCTCCCTGTACCTATACCTATGTGTTGAGATAAATAATAATAAATAAATAATAAACCCTGCCACGAGAAGCCGGCGAGTAGGACTTCCTTGGGAGTGGCTATGCACGCGTGGTCATCTGAGTGTATTTCGAGAGGGAGAGCGGACTCTTCTTCACCCTCGGCCTTATCAGGGCATTTGGGGGGCTGATAGTGTTTCTTTATCTGTGCACTTCTAATATTTTCTCTCTGTTAATTGGATCAACCTTTTAGATCGAGGTATACATTAGTTGCGCATGCCTAATACATCACAGCCACCTCGTTAGATATAAATCCACTACCCCACTAACTGATTTACCATCTCTATGTAGTACCTTCCAACCCTATTACTGGTCACTTGTTTGCTTCACGATGCATACAAAACGGCTAGGATTTGGAGTTGTTTAAATTCAGCTTTTAGCACTACAGACTTTCCTCAGGTATAATATTTCAAAAAGGACGCGTTTTGAAAGATTTTCAAAGTATTCGATCACATGTATGATTTACAGTAACTCGTGATAAATATCTGTGGTGGATTAATTGCAAACTGATAGTTTCACATTTTGTCGCACCATGTTTATTCAAACGATTTGCCGATTTTGTAGGTTTATATTTATTTGAACACATAAATATTGGTACAAGAGGGCACCACTGGCTGAAATACGTAGTTTATCCAACGGTCTGTTCCTCGTGAAACAATTCATGTATCTATCATTTCAGTTTTTTAAATAAAAAATATGATGAAGTTTGTTAATGGAACATTTTTCCGAAAAGTGATATATTTGTATTAGTACAACACTGAAATTTTCATCTATCGTTCACTCATTGCCTAGATACAGTTGTTTAAAACAAACCTTTATCTTGCTAGTATATCATTCTTTTCTGATTTTGTGTTTTTTTTCTAACCAACAGTAGAATTGATCGGTTCTTCATTTCGTCACGTTTTAAGGTTTTAGCTTCTTTATTACTTACTTACTTACTTACGCCTGTTATTCCTCGCGAAGAAGCATAGGCCGCTCACCAGCATTCTCCATCCAACCCTGTCCTGGGCAATCCTTTCCAGTTCTTTCCAGTTGTTATTCATCCTTTTCATATCTGATTCTATTTCCCGACGTAATGTGTTTTTTTGGCCTTCCTCTTTTCCACTTACCTTCAAGATTCCAAGTTAGAGCTTGCCTCGTGATTCAGTTTGGTGATTTCCGTAATGTGCGTCCTATATATTTCCTAATTTTCTCTTCAGATGGGAGCTGGTTGGTTCTCTCCCACAGAAGGCTGTTGCTGATGGTATCCGGCCAATGGATGTTGAGTATCATGCGTAGACAGCTATTGATAAATACCTGTACCTTCTTGATGGTGGTTGTTGTAGTTCTCCAAGTTGCAGCTCCGTACAGTAGAACTGCCTTGATGTTGGTATTGAAGATTCTGACTTTGATATTGGTTGAAAGTTGTTTTGAGTTCCATATGTTCTTCAGTTGAAGGAATGCCGCTCTAGCTTTGCCAATCCTCGCCTTGACGTCTGCATCTGAACCTCCTTGTTTATCGACGATGCTTCCCAGGTATGTGAGGGATTCTACATCTTCCAGAGTTTCGCCATCAAGAGTTATTGGATCGCTGTTCTTTGTGTTGAATTTGAGGACCTTGGTTTTCCCTTTATGTATGTTGAGGCCTACTGATGCAGAGACTGCTGCTATGCTGGCTGTCTTTATCTGCACTTGTTCGTGTGTATGTGATAGGAGGGCTAGGTCATTTGCGAAGTCCAAATCGTCTAATTGGTTCTTAGCTGTCCATTGTACGCCGTGTTTTCCCTCAGATGTCGAGGTCTTCATAATCCAGTCGACCACCAGAAGAGAGAGGAAGGGAGAGAGTAGACAACCTTGTCTGACTCCGGTCCTTACTTGAAATGCATCTGTCAGCTGTCCTCCATGCACTACTTTGCACTGTAGTCCGTCGTATGAATTCCGGATAATGTTGACAATCCTCTCAGGAACTCCATAGTGTCGAAGAAGTTTCCATAACGTTCTCCTATCTACACTGTCAAACGCCTTTTCATAATCAATGAAGTTGATCTATAGTGACGAATTCCACTCAATCGATTGTTCGACGATGATCCGTAGTGTCGCAATCCAGCTTGTTGATCTCGAAGTTGGGCATCTACTGCATCTTTCATCCGGTTCGGCAACACTCTGTTAAAGACTTTTCCTGGTAATGACAGTAGTGTAATGCCTCTGTAGTTTCCACACTTGCTCAGGTCTCCTTTCTTTGGAATCTTGATGAGGTGTCCTTCCTTCCAGTCCAGCGGCACTTGTTCCTCCTAAATCTTCTTGAATAGAAGATGAAGCATGTTTGTCGTTACTTCGATGTCTGACTTCAGTGCTTCAGCTGGTATATTATCGGGTCCTGCTGCTTTCCCGCTCTTGATTTGTCTGATGGCCATCCTGATTTCTTCCGTCGTTGGTGGATTGACATTTATAGGAAGATCTGTGTGTGCTGCTTCGATGTCCGGTGGATTCATTGGAGCCGGCCTGTTCAGGAGTTCCTCGAAGTACTCTGCCCATCTGTTGCGCTGTTGTTGAATCTCAGTGATTGGTCTTCCTTCTTTGTCTTTGACTGGTTTCTCTGGTTTACTGTATTTCCCTGCAAGCTTCTTCGTCGTATCGTAAAGCTGTCTCATATTTCCTTCTCTTGCAGCTTTTTCCGCCGTCGTTGCTAGTTCTTCCACGTATTTCTGCTTGTCGGCTCTAATGCTATTCTTTACTTGCTTGTTCTCTTCTGTGTATTCAGCTTGTGCCTTGACGTGCTCTGTTCGTGTTCGGCTGTTGTTAATTGCTGTCATCTTGTTCTTCCTTTCTTTGATCCTGTCCAGTGTTTCTATAGAGATACATTCCTTATGATGATGCTTCTTGAAACCCAGAACCTTTTGACACGTTGAAGTTAATGCTTCTTTGATACCTCTCCAGTTATCCTCCATAGTAGTTTCTTTTTTAGTAGATCCTGTGAGGCTTGGAACCTATTGTTTAGAGCTATCTTGAATTCATTGACTTTGTCGGTATCTCGAAGGAAGGCTGTATTGAACCTTTGCAGCGCTGTTTGTCCAGTTGTCCAGTTCTTNNTTCAAGCTATGCAGTCCGCACTTAATCAGTTGGCAATCAGTGTCCGTAGGTATGGTATGTGCTTTGCACCCTCGAAGTGCAAAGTACTTCTACATGACTGGCAGGATTCTAATCCTGTACTCACTGTGGATGGTGAGCAGATAGAAGTTGTCGAGAAGTTCGTGTATCTAGGTAGCTGCATAAGTGCTGGTGGTGGTGTGAGTGATGAGATCAATGCACACTATAGTGAAAGCCAGAGCGGCTTATGCCAATCTGGGCCATCTTTGGCGCCTTCGTGATGCTAGTCTGGCTGTAAAAGGTCGGGTGTACAACGCGTCGGTGAGAGCGGTTTTGCTCTATGCTTGTGAAACCTGGCCTCTCCGAGTTGAGGATGTTAGACGACTCAGTGTGTTCGATCATCGTTGTCTCCGAAGGATTGCTGGCATCCAGTGGCAACACCATGTCAGTAATGCAGAGGTTCGGCATCGTGTATTCGGGCACAGAGACGATAATGAAATTGGTGTCACCATCTTGAAACACCAACTTTGGTGGCTTGGACATGTTCTACGAATGTCGTCCCAGAGAATTCCACGTCGTGCATTATTTGCCGACTCTGGGACTGGTTGGAAAAAGCGCAGAGGTGGTCAGTATATGACATGGTGTCGTGGTATGAAAGAAGGCTACAAAGGGCTAGCTTCTGTTGGTCCTTCACGACTCCCTGGTTGGGGTCCTTGAGATGGTGTAACGCAGTGGCTAGAGACGTTATCAGATATGGCTCAGAATATAAGCCAGTGGCGATCGTGCTGTAACCTTCTTTTACTTTCTTCATAAAAAGTGGTTGTATCTTCCTTAACTGAAAGATCTCTTCTGATTGTACCTTTCCGTTTTCCCCACCATTGTTCTCTCTCTCTCTTTTTTTATTTATCTATAATTCCCCACGTTCATTACATTTTTTTCTCTTTTCTCCTTCTCTTCAAATTATCATTGTTTTGTGTGGCGCATATATATTTGGTGCCCCCCTGTACCAATATTTATGTGTTCAAATAAATAAAATAAATACCAGGGTAGAGTTTAAATGGTTTCAGTTATTTTTTCTGGCTAGCGTTTTTTAGCGAGTTAGTTTTCTACGGTATGGGGTCGCTAACCCCATGCCCAACCCTCCTCCTTTACTCGGGCTTGGGACCGGCAGTAACTCTAGAAGAGCTACAGGCGGAGTTAGCTTATTTATACATAGAAATTAATCAATAAGATTCATTATTTATTTATTTATTTTAACACATAGGTATTGGTACACGGAGGCACCAAATACATATGCGCCACACAAATCTCAATTGATTTGTGTGAGGGCTGTGATACTGCCCGGGTGCCCAAACCGAAGCAGGTGGTTTTCTTAGGGGGCCACACCCCGAGCCTTCGACCTGAACGTCTGACCCACAAGGCAGTGGAGCATCGTGAGGAGATGCAGTCCCATGGTAGCCGGTGACCAACGATTGGTTCATCCGCCATTTGTTCCTTCAGGATACTGGGACCCATGTGCACCATTGGTTTGGGGTCCGGTTAAAGCGCCGGACATTCGCTTTTCGTCCTCTCATTTTCGTAAACAACACCCCCGCCACGAGAAGGCAGTGAGTGGGACTTCCCTGGCAGAGGCTATATACGCGTGGCCATGTGAGAGTATTTCGAGAGGGAGAGCGGGCTCCCCCTCTCTCGGCCGTAGCAGGGCATTTGGGGGCCCCTAAATAAGATTCATACTCTCATTATGTATCTACATTAGCTACTTTATAAGCCTTTTTACGTTAGTTATAGCTTTTAGGTGTAATCATTCACTATTTTTCTGGGTTAAATATATCAGATGAGCTGTACGCTAAAACATTAAATGTTATGTTTGTCGTTATTTTATCTTGTATTTATCTTCTCGTAATTTTTACACTAAAAATCACTTTACTCATTTTTTGTAGTTTATACAAACTCAAGTGGTGAGGTCCTCATGAATCTGGACATTTCTAATGCACATGAAAATCCAGGAGCGGACTCATATGTTCAACAAGTTTGCTCCGTTGTTATTAGCCAAGAAAATCCAATTACTACTGAAGTACAAAGTGAACTTAAGGTTCGTATTATATAACTACAACTAATGCTATAATTAAAATACTAGTATTGATTGAACACCTATATGACCGTTTTTTTGGTAAATGAGGGTCGTTGGAGTTAACACAATAGTACCAAGCGTAAACAACAGATCACACTTAAAACAAACTTGAGTTGCAGAATAATTCTGACTGGTATGAAAGGTTATTCGTAAGAGGTTGTTGACATACTAACTTTCATAGTTAGTTTAATTCTAGCTACCATAGGTAGTAACGACATGGCGTTTTCCAGTGTACCTTAGTAGCTCAGTACAGATTTGCATTTGGTTTTAAATCACACTTTATAAGACACTAATACTACGTATTTAGATAAACTGAGGTAAAGTGGTAACATTTGTGGTAACGTTGAGTTCACTGCAGGAAAAGAGCAAAACTATAAAATGTCTTAATAAGTGTCACAGGTATTTCCTACAATTTCAAGGTGTGTGTGCAGAAAGAAAGAATACACCAACTGTTTGGGACGAAAAGTAATTTCATTGAACTTCGATAACTTATTCGTTAGTTAACTTTAGGGGTCATAATTTTGCCATATGATTATTTTAACGTGACAATGTATTTCTTTTTCATCTGCTTCGTAAGCAGACCTCGTTGATGGACAAGTTAAATCCTATAGTAATAAACAAAAAGAAGACTAAAATGATAGAGTCTTCATGGAGTATGTTTTATGGAATAAATTTAATATGTGGATGAAATTGATTGAAAAATATTAGAAGTGGTTGTGGATTTCCGCTAGGTGAAAAGTTTTTCATTGAATTGAATAAAACTCACTAGTTTGTCTTTCTAAAAGTATCTTAAGAAAACTGTCCTTTTATCTTTTTGCATTATGATAATGTTAGTTCGTTTGAATTCAGTTCTGAAACATTTTACTTGCCATTATACTATAACCAGTCATAAGCAACATATAATCTGACATGCGCATTGATTCAAGTTGACACATCTTATCACAATGACATGAAACGAATTAAAAAAACAACTTTTAAATATAAATTTGGCGTATAGTTTTGTTATAATTATCTCTTTCTGTAGTAAATAAGTTCCAAAATTCATCACTGAAATATGATGCCATATCCCATGCTACTGAACTTATCTATCAATTCGAATTTGTTATCACGTTTAAGGATAGGTAAAGTCGTCATGTATGATAATGTAGTTTTCTAACTACAGTAAGTGTGTATGTTACGGAAAAACATAAGTAATTAGACGGCACTTGTACTTATATGTAAATATCACATAACAAATAACATTGACAATGACTGTTTCGGCCCCTCAAGATCGAACTGATATAGCGCCTGCAGCCAAGCTAATCAGACAGATACTTTGTAAGGATTAAAAATAGTAAAACAATCCTCTAACTATTTACAAATTGCTGGAAAGTGTGCTAGGCTGAAATTTGATATAAAATTCAACTAACAGAAATCTCTTATGTGTAGTCACAGTACTTGAAGTTTCAAAAGTATAATATGTGACTTCTCAGTTATCACCAATATTTGCTGAAGCTCCAGTCTAGAGAAAAACCAGACAATAGGAATGAGATTGTATCTAAACTTAAATTTTTGTGCATAAAGGGATTCATTTATAGGGCTACAGACGACATTTTTATTATAGGAAAGTTTCCAAGATTAATAGCTTTTTATTTGTTGGACTAAGAAGTGAAGTCGTCATGAAGATAGTAGGATTCTCCACAAATAATGATTACTTTTAGCGTGTACTGGATATCCTTGTTGCTCCAAAGGTTTTGAGAAAACTTATTTCTAACAGTTGTGACAGTCGCTTAGGTAAATTAGTCAAGCTGTTCATACTAATGGACAACACTCATTTTTCTACATCCATCTGAAAATATGCTCATTTTGATTTTGTTTAGGTCTCTGAATCTATTTCTTCTGGTCCAGTGGGACGTTTCGAATGTAACTACTGCCATAAGAATTACTTTTCTGAATCCAATCTCCAACTTCATTTGGATGTTGCTCATCGTGGTAAGTAATATTTGTTCACAATTTCATTGTTTAGTTCTATTTACTAAGTGCATTTAGTAGTCTTTACTTAACTCATAAAAATGGTTTCTAAATTTATAACTATTCTACGTGAATATATATGTGCTTGTTTCACTTTATTTATTTATTTTTTTGTTGAATATAAATCCTTATCTACTAAACGAATAATAATAACATAGGTTTTCTTCATACGACTGATTGGTAATGCTAGTTCCTTAAAATCCTCTTTTGGAAATGAAATTGAACTATTTTTATGAAGGGTAGTAAAAAGACAAACGGAAAGTAATGATTGCCAACTTCATTCCCAGAGCTGGGAATCGTGGTATAGCGTATTACGTGTTTTTGATATGGATCAATGTTTTCAAGTGATGTAATTGACTTTCGTACATTATAAAACACAACCAACGGTCTACTAACCTGTCTGGTTAAAAAGATGTAAATTAACTTTCCATCTTAAAATAGTTTCCCTGAGTTAAAAACTGTAACTTTCCAATTGTTCATTAAGCGAGTAAATTAAGAAAGTACTTGTTCATTCATTTTATTCCATAAGAGCTTTTACTATCCTAGATATAAGTTATTGTTTGTGTAGAAAGTTTTTAACTATACTTTAGTCATTGTCTTGAAAGTTACTTATTACTGCCTATTCATTTTTCTTTCAGTTTCTGGTTATTTTGTGTTTGTTCAATAATGTTTAAGTTTATGTTTGACAGTGACGTTAAGCTTTTCTGTTCATTTTCTGATTGTATACTAAATTACCATATTTGAGAGGTTATCTGCTTCCTATGTAATAGTCTGCATCATTAGTTATAGTTAATACGGTCGATAACCGTAGTTTATTTGTGTCCAACAGCTTTTGCGAACATGGTAAATTGTATGAAGAATTAAGAAGTGTTAAGAAAATTTTATTTTTCCTTAATTCTATTTGTTTTGTCATTTGTACGTCTTTGTTTTTGTTGTTGAACATGTATTATGTGTGCTCACCTATCATCTACCTTAACATGCAATCCTGGGAGTTGTTGGAAGGTAGGTTGTTCGAAAGCTAATGGCTATCAAGTGAATATGGGGAAACATTCGATGAAGTTACCGACTGTTGGTTTTACTCTTCTCAGTAGATAAAAACTACCTGGTTAGGGTCGTAACCAAAAGTTAGAAACATCGGATAATACGGCTTTAAATCGACCTCATTAACACATGCATTTACTCTTTGTCTACTTTTAGATTCTGAGTTTCAACATTGTTTCATATATTTTATTCCGCGAACTCATTCTTTCTCGAACGGTGTTTGCCACCTCTAATATTTTTTATTCGTCTACTATCATTGTATTCATTTGGTTAGTTTTAAGTCTGTGTTAATGCGTTGCGACAACTTGGACCGGTGGATATTTGCATCAGTTCCCACATTATCTATTACTGACTGATTATTGTGGATTAGGTTGGGTGTTCGTATTGAGATTTTATCGCTAACGATCATTCCATTAGCGGTGCTATTGGAGAAATGCTTCCTATGAAAGGGGGGATGGTTATATCGACTGCTTTTTAGTGGATTAGGAAGCCTTTTTATTATTTTGTGAAGCTTGCAAGAAGTAAACAGATCTTATAACTTAAATAAAGTCTCAACCTCGTTTCGTTTATTTGAAACTTAGATGTAAAAGGATCCATCTAAAATTTTGTTCAACAGAACTATACTATATGAAGTAAATTGCTTTGGTTCTGTCGAAACTTTAATCCCAAAAAATCATGTGGAAGGTTTTGCATGTCACACTTTTCTAACATTTCCTATTGGGAGGACTCCCATAATCAACTGATTAACTAATTATAATTGTATATACCTAAACATTTTACGTCATACCTATTTTTTCCTTTTCAAAATCTCAAATTATTTTTTTGCTTTAGTATCTTAATTTACATGATTCTTGGTAAGAAAGCACTTAAAGGTGTATTTATTTATTTATTTATTTTAACACATAGGTATTGGTACACGGAGGCACCAAATACATATGCGCCACACAAATCTCAATTGATTTGTGTGAGGGCTGTGATACTGCTCGGGTGCCCAAACCGAAGCAGGTGGTTTTCTTAGGGGGCCACACCCCGAGCCTTCGACCTGAACGTCTGACCCACAAGGCAGTGGAGCATCGTGAGGAGATGCAGTCCCATGGTAGCCGGTGACCAACGATTGGTTCATCCGCCATTTGTTCCTTCAGGATACTGGGACCCATGTGCACCATTGGTTTGGGGTCCGGTTAAAGCGCCGGACATTCGCTTTTCGTCCTCTCATTTTCGTAAACAACACCCCCGCCACGAGAAGGCAGTGAGTGGGACTTCCCTGGCAGAGGCTATATACGCGTGGCCATGTGAGAGTATTTCGAGAGGGAGAGCGGGCTCCCCCTCTCTCGGCCGTAGCAGGGCATTTGGAGGTGTGTTTGAACATAGTGGTTATTGGTTAGAACAACAGAATAGCTGCTTTAGTGAACTTTATTCACTTACGTGTAGGAAACATCCAATTAGATAAACTTGATCCACAATAGTTATTTTTTTACTTTAGGAACGATGTATAAATAGCATTGTTCTCTTAATCAATATTAGGTCAATTTTTTGACTTCCAACCTGTTATCTAAAGTGATACGTCTTAAATTATTTTTGTTTAGGCTTTTCTATGTAGTTTCCCCGTAACTGATATTTTTTTACAGTGGTTTATAATTGAAATGGCTATATTTGTGAATTATTTTATTTATCTATCACTGCCAATGCATTTTAATAATACTATGTGTTCAATCGTCAATGGAAACAATGTTGATATTTGTCATGTCAGAAAACTCAGTTGACAAGTTCCTTTTAACAACCTTCAACTAATTAATGCCAAACTGTGGTAAAAGTCAAATAAAATATCTCAGTGGTCACACAACAGACTTGATCGGTTCATATTCAGTCAGTCAGTCAATCAGTAACAACGTGGAACTTCGTACGTACGTACATCAGTTCGAGTTGCCATACCGCATTAGCACAGAGATTCAGTTATCGATTCAAATCCCGTAGTGGTAGAGGTACTAAAAGTATAAGTAGTGATAGGGAACATTAGAGTTTGATGATGTTATTTAAGGAGTATAATACAGTGAAATAAATTTGAAAAGAGCGAAAAGGGACATGAAGAATTCAGAAGATTAGAGTTTGAGAGAACACAAAGAGTGGATGCACCTGAGCCATTGCAAACGATTTTGAGCCATGTCATTCAAGGTCTCTAACCATCGGTTGCTATCATCTCGCGGTCTCCAACCAGGTAATATACACCTACCAACATGGCTCAGTCCACCTGTTAGTGATTTCATGGATTTGTGCGATGTTTTGGTCTGGCCACCCCTAGCTTTCTTCCAACCTACTCCTACACCATAAAACATCGCACGTCGGGGCAGTCGGTGGTCGGGCATGCGCAACACATGTCCCAGACATCTCAACTGATCAAGTTTCACTACTTCCTCAATTGATTTGCCATCCTTACCTAGTACCCGTTTCCAAACAACTGAGTTGCTTACTCGGTGGTCCCAGGATATACGAGCAATGTTTCGAAGACACCTATTATCAAATATTCGTAACCTACGAATATCCTCTTCTCTTACTGACCATGTTTCACTGCCATAAAGTAGGACGGAACGAACTGCTGCGCAGCAAACACGTCCTTTGGTTGATAGACGGATATCTCGCCTACGCCACAAATGACGCAAGTTGGCAAAAGCTAGTCGAGCCTTCTGTATCTGTGCTGAGATTTCGTCACACACCAGACCACAAGGGCTGATGAAACTTCCCAGATAAGTGAAGCGGCCGACACGCTCAACTACTTCACTCCCTATCACTAGTTCGGGTGGCGGTGCAATTCAATCCTGAAGCAACATCTTGCATTTCGAAGGGGAGAATCGCATGCCGAACATGCTTGCATTGTTGCTTAGAGTGGTCAGCAGACTCTGCATTCTGTCAGCGTCGTCACCAAATAGAACTATGTCATCGGCATATTCTAAGTCAACAAGTGGATCTCCCGGTAGAAGTTCAACTCCTGGAAATTTAGATGAGGAAAGTGTCATCTCTAAAAGGACGTCAACAACAAAGTTAAACAAGAATGTAGAGAGTGGACAGCCCTGACGAACACCACTTGAGGTAATCAGTTCTGTTGACAGTTTGCCATAAGCTCTCACTCGACCAGTTGTGTTCGAGTAGAGAGCCTTTATAAGGTTAATGTACTTCTTTGGTACTCCTTTCAGTGACAAACACTGACATAGAACCTCACGATCAACAGAGTCAAATGCCACCTTAAGGTCGAGAAATGCTACGGTTGTGCGGCGTCTGAATGTGTGTCTATGTTCTAGGACCTGACGTAGTGTGAATATCTGGTCTATACAACCACGTCCAGGTCGTAAACCAGCCTGGTTTTCTCTAGTCTGCTCTTCACGAGCTTTGGTTAGACGTCGAAGTATTATTGAAGCTAATATTTTAGACACTATATTAGTCAAATTAATTCCTCTGTGATTGTCACAGGAGGACTTTTGTCCTTTCTTATAGACTGGCACAATCAGTGATTGAGACTAGTCAGATGGGATTACGTCCAGTTACCAGATTCTACCTAAGACCTCAGTCAATCTCGCTGCTAATACTGGACCACCATCCTTAAAAATCTCAGAGGTAAAGCTGTCAGGGCCTGCTGCTCTGCCACGCTTCAGATTTCCTATAGCTTTTTCAACTTCGTAAAGAGTCGGAGGACTTACATCAACTTGCCATTCAGGTAGACTGGAGATCGTGGGAAACCGAAGTGTGGCTGAAGGCCAGTTGAACTGATCCCTAAAGTGTTCTGCTCATCGATCCAATGTTATTCCACGCTGTCTATGGGTGGGCATCATATACATGGCTGCCTAACTGTTTTTCTAGTTTTTCCTGAAATATACTCTTAGCTTGACTATCATTAAGTAGGACCCTAAGGGGTTTCCTTGCAGCATCTT